TTCCTCGCATCAGGATCACCTCCCTTTGTGCCTGAAGGATCATTTCCTTAAGGCACAGCCACCCTTCTTGGGCTCCCATCACTTCAAAACTCCTACTCTGCAGTGCGTCCTTGACTAATCGCCTGAGTTCATTGAAATCAGCTTTCCTAAAGTCTAGCACTTTCACCCTACTAGTTACCTTACCCACTCGACGTCTTATGAAGAATTCTATTATTAGGTGATCACTGTCCCCCAGATGGCCACCGATCTGTAGGTCCACTACCATGTCATCCCCCGTTGCCAATACCAGGTCCAGTAAGGCATTCCCCCTGGTGGGACCGTGTACCTCCTGCGTCAGGTGGAGGTCCTGTACACAGGATAGGAACCTGCGTGAACGGTGGGACTTTGCTGTCTGCGTCTCCCAGCAGATGTCTGGGTAGTTTAGGTCCCCCATGAGGGACCATTGAGGATTTCCCTTTTTATCTTCAGGCATTTCTTCAGAATTGTCCAGTTAAGTTCCAGTCTGAACATCTAAAGCTTTTCTAGTCCATAGTGAAAAAGAGCCGTGCACAGAGTAGTTACAGGTGAACTCTGTGAATGCTAGTAGTGGGACCCAGTTGTTTTGTTGGAAACTGAGGTAGCAACAAAAGCACTGCTCTAGTACCTGGTATCATTGTAGCTCTCCTTGTTGGGTGCTATTGATGTGATGTCAGTACTGAGTCACTGGGACAGAGGTTCCATCAAACAGTCACAACCTGAAGATTTCAACACCAATCTTGCCTTTATGAATGACCTTAGGTTTGGTGCAGCAGCAAGAGCATGGCCTGGTTTACTGTCTATACGGTATGGCCCTAACACACTTTTGAGCTGACCAATAAGATGTTAACCCACGTATGCTTGTAACAAGATATCTGTATAACACCATACAAAGTTCCCATGCATTCTAATTCTCCTTTTACACAGTGATAAAAAATATGTATTACATCCCATCTATAACTTGAGCTGTCCTGTATTAAGGGCATGTGCCACATCCTGATCTGAACGCTCCTATTCCAGCCTTGTCATGAAGGTACTGGGCTATTCTCTGCCTTGTACAGCCATCTCTCCCTCCCATCTCCTAACAGGAGTGCTCATCTGGCCCATATTACAGATTTTGCTTATGTCAAAAGTTCATGCATTGGTCAGGTTTCTGGTCAGGTGTACTCTAGACAATGCTTTTGTAACAATGTTCCAGTGAGTCCTACACATGGTTGGTTCTCTTGGTTTGGCCATTCATCTGTGGGTGATGTACTAATGACAGCTACATCCCAAACTCAACAGTTGCAGGACCTTGTGCCAAAACCAGGAGACAAGCTTGGACCCACGGTTTAAAGTTATGCTGTTTGGAAGGCTGTGGATGCAACCTCTGTGGCCCAAACACAATTGGGCAGTGCCTCCAGCTGTGGGCAGACCTACGTATGAGATGAAATGCACCATCTTAGTTGGTGATGGCTTTACCACTAAATTGTAAAGCACCCATTCAATTCAGGAAGCTCCACAATAAAGTCCATGAAAATAGCAGATCATGGCCAAGAGGGAGTGGGAAGGGGCTGGAGAAGACAACTGGGATTTGGGGGTTGGGGGGGGTTAAGGATACAAATCTTGCAAGTGTAGACAAACACTTGTATGGTCTTCCCCAGGTGTGGCCACTGAAGTAGCAGATGAGTAGTTCATACAATGTCTCCATTCCAGGATGACCAGCTAACAGAGTCATGGCATAAAGATATTATAAGTCTGGCTGGACCTAGGGCATGAAAATATTGCCCCAAGTGAAGATTACCCCATCCTGGATCCATGGCAGTTGTCACATGAAGATGGCCTTCTCTTCAGGAGGGGCTTACTCCCAAGCAATTGCACAGATAGCAGATCCATTGGCAAGGTGGTGCTGAGGATGTCATGTGGCTTCCAAATGAGGCTAGGTCCCAACGGTCCTTATGCCAGGTAATCATATTCTACCGTCTGGGAAACAGCATCCATTTTCCCATTTCTAGGTTCCAGCTGGTACATTATTTGAAAGTCAAATTGGGACAAGAAAAGAATCCAGCAAAGCTGCCTCTGGTTGAATGCCTTGGCTGCACACAAATATCCTAAGTTTTTGTGATCTGTACGAACATGTACTTTGTGCCACACCTCTTCAAAGCAGTGCTACCACTTCCCAAAAGCCATGCTGATGCCCATGAGTTCACAGGTCAGGGTCTCAAGCCTTTGTTCTGCTGGGGTGAGTTTACAGAAAAAGAAGATGCAGGGATGCAGAATTTGGTCTAGGCCCTGCCATTTCTCTCACAAATGAGAAGGTGGGGGTCTGGATGAGCTAGCAGAGGGGCAGAGGTGAAGTCCCATTTCAGATCTTCAGAGACTCACTGGGATCCACAGACTAGTAAAACTAGAGGTTTTTATGTAGCAGGATGGTGAGAGGGCTCATCACTTGAGCAAAGATAGCAATAAACCTGATGCAGACTGCCAGATGTGGAAAGTGCATCGCATCTGGGCTCTAAATCACCACCTCCAACTTCACTTTGCTCAGCAGTCCTCTGGGTCTCTGGAATCTGAACCAGGGGGAGAGACATCAAAAGGGAAGATCTACTGGCTTAATCCTTCCTGGTGAAAATGGCATAATTCAATATATTGTCATGAGGAGTGTAACATGGGTTGTCATGGAGCCTAACATGGCTGTGGTCGTGGGTGAAAATGGAGAACTGATCTTATCAGCAGGGTCCCAACTGGACTTTCCCATGTTCCCAGTCACTTGTTGGAGCTGCTGTGGGAGGGATTAACATCTAATCCATCATATACATGAATTGCTTCCCAAATTGCACAGCCCCTTGGAAATTCAACAAGTATTGGGAACCATCAAAATATGTTGAACAAAGTCATATTCCTTCCCTCCTTTTTGTGACCACCCCCAACAAGACAAACCAGCTCCTCCTGCCAAAAAAACTGAGGCTCATTCGAAAGTCACAAGGTTATTTTCTTAAACACTGTAATATAGGAAAAGTGGGGACACCTTTATACACAGCGGGGGATCAGCAAAGAGGACACTTATGGAGAAGACTAATGAAAGAGTACTCTCAATGATGGGTTATTAACCTCTTGGAGTAGCACCTATAGGACAATCATGGAGCCAAATAGCTTATTTCACTCAGAGGACATCCTCATACTTTCCCCACCCTTCCACAGGAGAGGCAGGACCTGCCACAGGCTGCAGCTCTTCACCCTGGCTACCCCATTTCACCCAGAAAAGGAACTCTACTGCCCCCTGGCCAGAGGTTCCTTCAAAAGGGCAGCATTCTTGCTGCACAGAAGGATATGGGTGTAATGTTTCAAGTGTGACCACCAGGTCCTGCACCCAAGGGTGAGTAACAACCCCTGGATTCAGTCAGTGGGCCCTAAAAGACTGCATCCCTGAGTACTTAAGGAGCTGGAAGGCGTCATAGCCCAACCACTGGCAAAGATTTTCAAAAACTCCTGGTACTCAGGTGAAGTACCTGACGATAGGAAGAAGGTCAATGTGGTGCCCATCTTCAAGAAAGGGAGGAAAGCAGACCCAGGGAACTCCAGGTCAATCAACTGGACCTCAATCCCTGGTAAGATTCTAGAAAAAAAAAATAAAAATCAAAGAGTCCTTTCTTGACAAGCTGGCAGATGGCAACATCCTGACGGACAGCCAGCACGGGTTTGTTGCGGGTAGGTCTTTCCTGACCAATCTCATTTCTTTCTATGACCAGGTGACATATCACTTGGACAAGGGGGAAGAGATTGACATCATATATCTGGACTTTAAAAAAAGCTTTTGATCTGGTGCCCCAGGATCTCCTCTTGGAAAAATTGCCAACTGTGACCTTGGCTGCATCACAGTCTGATGGCTGGAGAATTGGCTCTGAGGCTGGACTCGGAGTGGTGGTCGATGGAAGTGAATCATCATGGCGCTCCGTGACCGGTGCTGTCCCCCAAAGCTCTGTCCATGGGCCTGTTCTCTTCAACATGTTTATCAACAATGTGGATTCTGGTGTCAGAAGTGGACTAGCCAAGTTTGCCAATGACACCAAACTTTGGGGTAGAGCATCCACACCTGAGGATAGGAAGGTGATCCAGGCTGACTTGGATAGGCTGAAAAAGTGGACAGATACAAACCTGATGATATTCAACACCAATAAATGTAAGGTACTCCACCTTGGGGAAAAAACCCCCGCAACACACTTATAGGCTCAGCAGTGCTACACTCGCTAGCACCAAAGCCGAAACAGACTTGGGTGTCATGGTTGACCACAAGATGAACATGAGCCACCAATGCCATATTGCAACTGTAAAGCAAACCAAACTCTGGCTTACATAGATGCTTCTCAAGTAAATCTCAGGATGTCATCCTCCTGCTGTACTCAGCCTTGGTGAGGCCGCAACTGGAGTACTGCATCCAATTCTGGGCTCCACAATTCAGGAAGGATGTGGAGAAGCTTGAGAGAGTCCAGAGGAGAGCCATGTGCATGGTCAGAGGGCAGGAGAATAAGCCTTATAGAGGCTGAGAGCCATGGGACTCTTCAGCCTGGAAAAACACAGGCTCAGGGGTGAGCTGGTGGCTGCCTGTAAGTACGTAAGGGGTGTGCATCAGGATCTGGGGGAATGTCTGTTCACCAGAGCGCCCTAAGGGATGACAAGGATGAATGGTCACAAACTCCTCCAAGACCGTTTTAGGCTGGACATAAGGAAAACCTGTCCAAACTCCCAAGGCCGGGAATAGGCTTCCTCCAGAGGTGGTGCAAGCACCTACTCTGGACTCCTTTAAGAAGCGGTTGGACGTTTATCTTGCTGGGATCCTTTGACTCTATCTGACTTCCTGCCCTTGAGGCAGGGGGCTGAACTTGATAATCTCCTGAAGTCCCTTCCAGCCCTAATGTCTATGAAATCTATGATTGCAGTGAATCCTCTGAAAAGGGAAGGGGCTGGGAAACTGGAGATATCTGTGGGGGTAAGGGTTCTGGTCCCTGGTCTGTTCCCATTTCTGGAAGGGGCAAAGAGACCAACCACAGGGATATTATGTTCAGGTCTGGGACTTTCTTAGCAGAGAATGCATTATGGAAAATGCAATGAAGGGAAGGAGGGTAGGGGGAGCAGCAGGCACCCAGCGGTGCAGAGTATGGAGATAGGCTGAAAACTGGTTCAAGGGATGGCAATATCAGGTTCTTGCAGACACCCAATGGACATGGGCAGACCTGAGAGAGGGATTATGTGGTGCTGAGGAAGGTGAATTCAGGGTGGAGGGCAGGGAATGCTTCTCTTGCCATAAATGTACTCCTTCCTGCAACTCAAGAACCTCACATACCAGAACTTGGGTCCAGGCGGAAGGATAAAGCTGGGAGGCAGTCAAGGACAGTCCCTGTGTTGGGACCATCCAAGTATCTTGCGAAGGGCACCTATTGTGAAGGCACTTCTTGTCCCCTTAGGAGCACCAGCTGCTTGTAGGGAATGATGGGGAATGCAAAGATGCCAAGGCTGATACCAAGATTGTCTTCTCATAGGTTCCCCCAGCATCTGGGCTGGTCTCTGTCCCAGGTGTTTTCACTTAGCCTCTCCACCCCAAACAAACCTTGGGGGCCAGTCTCTGAGTCCTTTGGGTTCTGCAGAGCCCTACAAGGACAGAAGGGTGCATGAACTCTTTCTGCAGTCCAGCAGCATGAGTCTGCTTGTCTGAATGCAGCCACCAGTAGGTGCTGAGCAGGTAGAGATCCACAAGCCCTTCCTGCATTGCTGGCAGAACTATGGATGTTCCCGGGTGTGGATACGTTGGTGCTGGGCCAGGTGGGAAGACTGGGTGAAGCTCTTTCCACACTCAGAGCACTGATGTGGCTTCTCTCCCGTGTGGATGAGTTGATGCCGAGCCAGAGTGGAGGAGAGGGTAAAGTTTTTCCCACACACAGAGCACTGATGTGGCTTCTCCCCTGTGTGGATGCGCTGGTGTCGTACCAGGGAGGAGGACTGGGTAAAGCTCTTCCCACACTCCAAGCACTGATGTGGCTTTTCTCCTGTGTGGATGCGCTGGTGCCGAGCCAGCGTAGAGGATTGGGTGAAGCTCTTCCCACACTCTGGGCACCGATGTGGCTTCTCCCCTGTATGGATGCGCTGGTGCTCTGCCAAGTGGGAGGAGTGGCCAAAGCTCTTCCCACACCCCAAGCACTGATGCGGCTTCTCCCCTGTGTGGATGCGCTGGTGCTCGGCCAGGTGGGAGGATTGGGTAAAGCTCTTCCCACACTCCAAGCACTGATGTGGCTTTTCCCCCATGTGGATGCGCTGGTGCCGGGCCAAGCTGGAAGACAGGCTAAAAGTCTTCCCACATTCTGAGCACTGATGTGGCTTCTCTCCTGTGTGGATGCGCTGGTGCTCGGCCAGGTGGGAGGACTGGATGAAGCTCTTCCCACACACAGAGCAATGATGTGGCTTCTCCCCTGTGTGGATGTGCTGGTGCCGGGCCAGGCTGGAAGACAGGCTAAAGCTCTTCCCACATTTCAAGCACTGATGTGGTTTCTCCCCTGTGTGGATGCGCTGGTGCTCAGCCAGGTGGGAGGATTGGGTGAAGCTCTTCCCACACACAGAGCACTGATGTGGCTTCTCCCCTGTATGGATGCGCTGGTGCCGGGTCAGGCTGGAAGAGAGGCTGAAGCTCTTCCCACACTCAGAACACTGATGTGGCTTCTCTCCTGTGTGGATGCGCTGGTGCCGGGTCAGGCTGGAAGAGAGGCTGAAGCTCTTCCCACACTCAGAACACTGATGTGGCTTCTCTCCTTTGTGGATAAGCTGGTACTGGGCCAGAGTGAAGGAGGAGGTGGAGCCCTTACTGCATGCAGAGTACTGATGTGCCTTCTCCCTTGTGTGCATGTGTCTGTGCTTGGCCAGTTTGGAGGGCTGCCTGAAGCTCTTTCCACACTTGGTGCACTGGTGTGGCTGCTTCTGCCTCTGCACACACTGATGCTGGGACAGGTCTTGCCAGCAGATAAAGTTCTTCCTGCAGTTGGTGCAGCGGTGCACTGTCTTCCCCAAATGGATACGCCGGTGCTGAACCAGGGAGAAGAAATGGGTGAAGGTCTTACCACACAGGATACAACGGTACCGATGCTTCTTCCTGTGCACATGCTGGTGTTTGACCAGGTCCGAGCTGCACAAAAAGCTCTTCCCACATTTGATGAAGCGCTGGGAGATGGCACCAGAATGGATCTTGAGGTGAGCATCCAGGGTCGAGAGGCAGGTGTAAGTCCTCCCGCACTGGGCACACACATGGGACTTCTTCCTAGTGTGCCTTATCTTGTGCAAAACCAGGAGTGATGGGCAGTTAAAGGTTTTCCTGCACTCAGGGCAGGGGTGGGCCCTCCCCCTGGGCTTGGCAGTGAGCTGCTGCTTCCTTCTTAGGCCCACCCCACTGCCTTGGTTTTGATGCAATGTCTCTCTCCAGTGGAACTTTGCTTTCTGGCTCTTCAGGTCTCCCCTGCACCCAGGGGCCTTTCTGGGGTCTGTATCTTCTCCACTCTCATGCCCAACTGGAGATGGTATCTGGGCCACTGCTAAATTCTCCTTCTGCTTTTGGGGCCTCCCCTGACTCTTGTGCCATTGGTCCTTCTCAGGTCTCAGGGAGTCCATCTCACCCAAATTCCTTGGGGAAGTCCGTGGTGGCTCCAGGTTTTCAGGCTCTTCCTCAGGAGGCTGCTCATCAGCTCTATTTAGCAGCCAGGAACCTCCTAAATGGGGAAGAGAAACTCTATATTAGTCCCTGCCATGCTGGTAAAGCTCAAACATTGCTATTCTTCTGCTGGGAAGGGCCTCCAAGCAGGTCTTCTTTCCAAAACCTGATGTACTGGGGGTGAGGGCCATGTTAATGCTCCCTACTTGGTGGATATCGAGCAACATACTCAGGTTTTCTGTCCCAGCTGTCAGCCCCATCATCTAAGACTCTGCTGGGAGGAACACATGTGGAACATGCATTAGGACAGTACCTGAATGGTTTCATGCTCTAGCAGGCTGAGGAGGAGATGAGAGGCATCTACTTATAGGAAGAATGAAGCTTTGTAACAGCTGCTCTATCTCACAGCACGGGTGAGTCCAGGGGCAGGTGATGCTGAGCCCTCCACCTGACTGGGCTGACACACTCCAGCAGCTTAAGTCCACTGGTGAGACTGATCTCCAGTGCTCACCCTTGATCTATGGCAGTCCTGGGAGCAGCCTCTGGCTACAAGGGTGAACAGCCTCGCAGTGAATTTCTGGAGCTTGTTAGGAGTCATGGGTATGGGGGGAGTATTGCCTTATGTTGGACCAGCTGCTTCTGTAGCATACAAGTGCTGCTTCTGCTTGGTAGAAAAAGCCATGTTTCATTTTTCTAAGAAATGTTCTGGGCGGGGAGAATTGAGAGCTGTGGTGTTCTCTCATAAAAAGAACAGGGTTGTGATTCTTACCTGCTTCCAGAGAAAGGTCTGGTGCAGAGAATGAGCTCATGAAGCTTTCCTCTGCGGACAAGGCACAGGTGGCTTCCACGTCACAGGAATCTATACCAGGACAAAGGCCTTGGCATGAGCCTGCACATGGACTCTGTGATGCATGGGCGACTGCTGCCACCGCAGTCAGGGGGGGCATGTGCTGCCCGTGGACCGGGGCAGCGGGAGCCCCATGGCCAATCCCACCAACCGGGGGGGAGTGGGGGGGCATATCCCCACAGCCAATTGTGAGACGGCCAATCACTGTGGCCAGTCGCTGCAGCTGCTTCCAGAAGTGGCTGCCGGGCCGCTTCCAGGAGTGGCTGCAACCACTTCTGGAAGCGCAACAGTGCTCCACTTCCCGGTCGGCGCTTGCAGGGGGGGCACCGGCACTCCTGCCTGCCCTCCCTGCCCATCGCCTAAGTGGCGAGTGCAGCTGGTGAGGGGGTGCACAAGCGCTCCCCCTACGTGTCGCCACTGCTGTGATGAATCTCAGGCTTTATGACCCTCAGGGGCCCAGAGATGAAACAGGAAGGGGGATATTTTGCTGTAAACCATTCACTTCCTCTCACAACATGAAAGCTTGTAAATCCCACCCACCCCATGGAGCCATTTAATGCAGCCTGAGACCATGATGATACACTTCTGGGGTTCTAGGTCACCCTGACCAGGTGCAACCAGGGACAGCCCCAACTTCTCTCTTGTCGGGCAATAATGGCTACACAGAGCTTTGGCCAATCGTGCTGATTTCAATGGGGGACTACAAATTCCATCATGCCCTGGGAGAGGCTGATAGAGGTATGGCTCCCTTGGGCAACTCTTACATTGCTGAGTGAAGATGGATAAGATCATGGACCTTTGCCTACAAATTAAAACAGCAGACTTGTCCCCTAACAGCTGTAATTAGGGAGAGGAGGATGGAACAGCTGTTGTCTCCACAGCTTTGAATTTCAGGGAGTAGGAAGAGCACCTGCCTAGACACATTACAGCAGTGGTCACCAACCAGTGGATCTTGATCTACTGGTAGATCTCGGAGCCTCTTGGAGTTGATCTGAGGCTGAGTGCCCGGGTGCATACATGTGCATACCCCACCCCCCACTCCAGCAGGTCAGTCCATAGGGGAGGGAAGGGGCAGAGTCCAGATCAAGGCCCCTGTGGTGAGGGAGGAAGTGAGGCTAGGGCTAGGGCCTCCATCTGCCCTGCCCCTCCCCCCACAGACTTACCTGCTGGGAAGGCGCACCCCAAATCATTTTTTACCCTCTGCCTCGATCTACCCCTCCCCCCCAACAACTTCCCTCCCCACAGACTTATCTGCTGGGCAGGGAGTTAGGGGGGAGGAAGTGGCAGCGCATGGTAGATCTTGGGTTGCTTTTAAATGCCAAAGGTGATCTCCTACTTAGATAGGTTGGAGACCACTGCATTACAACATAAGCTATTTGAGGTCAGGATCTTGAGAGGGAAGTCAGGTAGACAGAGCAGCCATAACTCACCTGGCACCAGGTCCTCCAAACTTGAGATTTCCCCATAGTTCTCAACATCACAGACCCAGAGCTCCACTTGTTTTTGCTGGATGTGGCAGATTAAGTCAGGTGTGGGACCTCGATATCCTGTTTGAGGCAGTGGTTAAAAAGTGTTTGTGATTGGGAACTGGATGCAGAATAATCAACTGGGATTTGGGGAATGGATCCAATGAACTCCAATCACTAGGCCCTGCACTGAACCCACTTCTTTTTATCACAGTAATGGGCATCTGACATGCAGAGGGATTTTAGGAGGACGACAACAAAACTTTTGAGAATGGCAGAGTGAGCTCAAGTGCACAGGCCTTAAAGTAAATACAGCAAAGCCAGAGTCTGTGGTCGATGGAGATGAAGCTGTTAGGAAGGAATGTGGACAGAAGCTTCCAGTGACTCCTTGTTAGAAGTATGCAGCTTCCATCATGTGTACGTATGTCATTAAAGAAGGAATTGAGGAAATGCATAACCCATGTGTTGTAGCAGCAGTGTCTGATAAGACTTCCATTAACTTTTGCAGGGTAGTAATCAAAGAAGGAGAAGGGGGATTTTAGGCAGCACTGAATGAAGCATGCTAGGATTCTTAAATACATTTGGAGAGGACACACCAGGCAAGAGAGGAGAAAGAACAGGCAGAAGACAATAAATTTAAGAGTACACATCGCTCAGGGGAGAAGCAAAAAACAAACAAAACTTTACCCAGGGAAACAAGGGCTCGGTAATTCTTCAGCATCTGGTCCCAGTAAAGCACCTTGTCTTCATCTTCCAGCAGCTCCCACTCCTCCCATGTGAAATACACTGCCACATCCTCAAAGACCTCTTGGAGCTGCAGTCACAAGCATTACACTATCAGTATCTCCTGTTCCAGCTGCCTCCAGCCCCCACAGCCCTGTCAGTACTTACTCTGTACTACAAAGATTTGCAAGCTTAGCCATGCCAGGCAGGGGTACAAAATTCCCCATTATTCAGCTGACATAGGATGTGGATACAGTTCTGTGGATGTAGGAGTTAATTTGTCTGCTTTAGCCCATCTCATCCTGGGAGATGGCGCAGCTAATTTTAGTTGCCAAAAGGTATTATCCCAGCAGAGACTCTGTAGTGTAGGTGCCATAAGTTATCCAAGGGAAGCTGTTTTCATGGCAGTGAGTCACAGGACGGACCCCTGCTTGGGAGGGGAGACCCCAGGAATTTATCCTTCTCCACCAGACACTAGCCCAGGTAACTCCAGGGCATGATACAATGATGTCAAGAGGTTTTCTTTGCTTTCCATGTGGCTTTGGGTGGGAAGCTAAGAGCCTAGAGTCTAGGGTGAGACTGCCTGGCCCCATACAAGACAGGAAACCTCCCTGATGATGCCTTGTCTGAGCAGGGACTGCTGCAGTCATCCCTTCTCTGTCTGGCTGAGGAGTGGAAATGAAGGAAAGTGGATGAAGGAGAGGCTGGGAGGGGGAACATGGATCCCCAAAGACTGTGACAGGTTGGAGCACACTGGACTCAATGCAAAATGAGTTTAGAAATAAATGGAAGAAGAAATGTGGGTTTCAACCCCCAGGAACTGTCATATTTTAGTCTCTATAAATGGAGTCACAAAGTATCTGGATTCTTTTGGGCAAAAGTCACATCTACTGGCATGGAGAGGTTCTCATGGAAGGTATCAACTCTGTCGCTGTGTCTTTTTTCCCCATCAGACATGGGTAAAAGGAGACAAAGACTAGTATTCATTTCACCTTCTTAGGGGCTGCACAAACACTGTCTTTCTTTATCCTTACACACAATGATTTCAGATATGGGGATTCCCTATCAGAAACCTACCAACTACCACAGCTAGCTTTCATCCTAAGCACGCCACTGGATCCATCATCCACAGCCCAGCTCTACACTGTGTTTTTAATACTTCCCACGCACCATGATGAACATCTTAAGGATCTGGAGCAGAGATTCCTAGTTATAACGCAATCCAAAACCTGTAGTCACTGGAAGCAACAAAGTCAAACTCAGAACTCATTGCAACTTGCTGGAATTCCAACCTGGGAACAAGGACAACAGAGTGCCACTGCTTGTCACCTACAGCCCCCCAGCTCAACACCCTTGCACACATCATTAATGATCTCCATCCCCTCCTGGAAAAGGAGGGCTGTTTCAGGGTAGGCATGGGAGACAAACCTGCCCTGGCTTACAGGCAGCCCTCACAAGTGTTGTTTTTTTTTTTTAAGGAGATTTTTTTGTGTCCCAAATCAAATCAGCCAAATCAATTCCAAATCTGTGTGTCATTCAAGAACCATATGTGGCCCTGCTACTGGCAAACGTCCTCCACCCCTGCCTGGGGCTTCAGATACTTCCAAATCCTTTGGTGGACATCTTATGTGCAGGCCCAAACCCAGAGGCTTGGGGTTTGGATACCCCCAATTTTCACTCGCCCTCAGTCGTATGGCCGCAATAGCAAACTAGGGAGGAGTCCCATTTCCATAAACTCGGGATATAGCCAAGATCTTCCCACTGGAACTGGAAGGCTAACTATGCATTACCTCAGTTAGGGTACTACCCCCTGCCATGTTCGTAGTTTTCCCTTGCCAGTAGGAAAACCTTGGTGGTCATGGTATTTCCCCTGCCAGGTAAGTAGCCCCCACAAGCTATCTAACTCCCAATTTCACCAAGGCACCAGGCCTTGAAATGGACCGAGATGCAAGCTGTGCTTCCTCATTAAGACACACCACATCATCACTGAGCCAAAGAAAATGGATGACAGCATCTGAGGGACATTCACCTCTAACTCTGCCATTCTCATTTAGGTCATCCCCTGCTTATAGTGCCTCTGCTGTCTACACAGTCAGATGGTGCAATCCCACCATGAAAGACTGAATGAACATCAATCTAACATAATTTCCAGAAGGGTACAAAGGCTTGCAGCAGAACACTTAAACCTCTCTGGACTTTCCATCGCTGACCCTGGTGTAGCAGTTCTTAGACCAAAAAAGCTTAAAAAACAAACTTGATTAAATTGTGCAACCAGAAATCATCCACAGGCTGGATTGTGTAAAATACAGTCTCAATAGGGACTATGGATTCTTATCCAATTACCTAGATTAGCTTCTGTGTCCAGTTTGTATGGGGGGGCTGCTTCATTTATTGTCCCATCTCCCAGCACTGTTCCCCCACCCTCACCCCTGTCCCCACCCTGTATTTGGTATTCAAAAGACCCTCTCTATTTGATACTCTGGCCTGTGCATATCCTTTTGTTGCATCTGAAGAAATGTGCTTGAACTCACAAAATCTTTTGCGATGTTCCTCTGACTCAGTTTGTAAGGTGCAAATCTATCCTGCCTGATCTCAGACTAACACAGATAACTAGCACCACATGTGCTACTCACTCCTACCAAACTACCTGCCTATGAGGTTGCTCAGGCACTGGCTGGCCTGGAAGGACCCTACTAGTATCAGCTAGAGATACTCTATAATGTACTCCACAGTCCTAGCCAGGCTGCAGGGGACTTGCTGGGCTCAGCTGTAGAGACCATTATGCCGTGTTTCCTGGTGCTGGCTGGGTATTATAGTGTACCCAGAGGGACTCTTTATGTCTTAAAATGTTCTATTTGACTGATCCTTAAAGGAAGCTGAGGCAGCACGTCTGGAGGTAGAGGGAGTCCTGGCTCCATGGACTTTGACCAGGCCTTCCAGTGCCAGCAGCCCTGGCTATCTGCACTGGGGAGTGAGCTCCTGCTAATGCAGCTTGGTGTGGATGCAGCATGTCATTCTACAGGTCTCTTTGCTCCCCAAAATTCTGCTCTGCACCCCAGCTCCTCCTTGACTCTGCCCAGTTTCACTCAGTCCAAATTGAACCTAGTGCCTTGCTCACCTCCATGCTCTCCCTTTGCTTTGGAGGCCTGCCCTGCTCCTTTTGCAGTTGGCCCAACTCAGATGCCAAGGAGCCCCTCTCCCCCAGGACCACTGGGGAAGTCCTCTGCAGCTCCAGATTTATAGGCCCTTCCTCAGGGGGTGGCTGATCAGCTCTACTCTGGGTCTCTGAACCTGCTGGGCAGGAAAGAGAATGTACAGGTTAGCCTTGGTGGTGCTGGCATGGAGAAAGCCCTGCTGGTCTCCTGTGTGGGAGACCTGTGACTAAGGCAGCCAGACGTCTCAGCATGTAAAAGAGGAAGGAGAAGGAAGACTCAAAGTCCAACAGCTCTTGTTAATAGACATGCACAGAGACAAAGCTGAAGATGAGATCCAATAACTGCCATAGCACAAGATGTTGATCATGACACCATGTCAAAGCCTGAAGGGCCATTGTCCCCTGGGGGAGAAGCTCAAGGGACATTGGCACAGTGTCAATATGCACATTTTAAGGCAGCAGTTCACAAACTGTGGGTCACGACCCCAAATGGGGTTGCAACATCAGCAGATAGGGTCGCAAAAACAGGGATATGGGGGCCACAGGTGACATGTT